TCTGCAAGTTCTTCAAAGTTCTCTTTTGTGTAGTCTATAGGCAAGTCTGCTCCCAAGTTTCTCAACAATTCCAGTTTTCCAGTACTACCAGTAGCTGCTATCTTAGATGCACCAAATATATGCTTGGCGATCTATCTCATGAAACACACATATAGAATGCAATTAGCTTTCCATTAGAGTATATGCAATGTTATATTGAGTACAAAGAGGTAAAAGATAGTGAGAGTAATAGATGAGCAAAAGATGAATTTTTGGCTAAAATTTCAAACCTGAATAACAAGGGATCCAACTCCACCAGCTCCTCCCAGAACAAGTATAGATTTGCCAGCAGAGAACTGAGCAGTTTCAAGTCCTTGATAAGCAGTTATGATTGCCAAAGGGAGGCTTGCAGCTTCAACAAAACTCAAATTGGAGGGTTTGTGAGCCAATACTTTCTCTTCAACTGCAGTATATTCAGCTAAACTGCCAATAGTCTTTGGATGGTCCAGAGTAATCTCATTGATGTCACCATAAACTTCATCTCCAACCTTAAATTTCTTCACTTGATTTCCCACTTTCACCACCACACCAGCAACATCGTACCCTGGTGCAGTCTTCTCACCACAAAATGAGATTAAAGAAAACAAAAAGGTTATGCTAGATTGAAAAGTTTGGCATAATTAACTAAGACAGAGTTAAGAGAAACATAGTTACTGGTAAAGGAGAGTCAATGTCCTTGAAATGACCAAGAGCTCTCTTATAATCTACTGGATTAATGGCTGCAGCCACAACTTTGATGAGCACTTGGTTTTCCATGAGGTGTGGTGTGGGCACATTAGGATCAAACTTGAGAACCTCTTCTATGTTCCCATATTCAGAGTAGATCCAAGCTCTCATGTGAGATGGAATACTTGTCATGGTATTGTGAAGAGTCAATAATAAAATCCTTTGAGAGTGTTTGTTTGGAGTGAAAGAGATAAAAGGGTAACGAAGAGGATGGGAAGATTATGCAAAACGATATATGCTATTTATAGCATGCAACATGATTTCTATTTTTGGAAAACTGCTTAGATTATTCCTTTTTTTTATGCCAAGTGATGATTTGTGTCATGACATCATATCAAAGAAACCAAGAACCATTTCCTCTTTTACTTTCTTTGTTTCCTTTTAGGACAACATCACCTTGCATGCAGACGATTTTCCAGCAATATTCGTGATGTTTTGCCCATCTTCTTTGACGGATCGGTGTTCTTGGTTGTGGTGAAGGGGTTATAATCAAGGACAATGATATTTGGTACATCTTTGAATTGCAAATATTTATTAAATACTGTGCATTTTTCTTTATTTATCTTTCTTATAGCACCTTTTATTATATTTATATAATTTTTTTTCTATTTCTTTTTTCAGTTGGTATACATAAATTGTCAGAAATAATTTTAGTAGAATAAAATAGTGTAGGAAAAGAAAGGACATAATAAAGTGTATGTATAATGTTACGCAAGGTATGACGCATGAAGAGAGGAGTCCATTTCGGTGGCGATCCTTATTATTAATTTCTTTTCTAACGCAAAACAGAATAATACTGTTACGTCAAATCAGAGAAAATACAAAAGTTTATCTTATTGCAACGAGCCCAGCACTCTGCACTTAGAATATTGATGGCCCAATATTCCCGCTGGCCCATGTGGCTTATTATTCTGAGAATGGGATGCATGCGTGGCATAATACGGAGAATGAAAAGATTGAAGGAGAGAGAAGGCCGCGACAGAGAGCAAGAGGCGATGGAGAGAGAAGAGGTCGGCGGCTCCCTCCACGGTGCTTCGAGACAGTGGTGGTCGGTGATCCAGAAGAAGAAAAAGTAGATCGGAAAACGGTGAGTAAAGAAAACTTATCCTTTCTTTATTCTGATAAAAGTGTAAAACATGTATACAATGATATGGGAGAAAAAACGGGGGAAGGAACCCTATATATAGGGTTCCATGGAAGAAGGGAAAAACAAAAAGAACACCAAAAATGAGGTAACTGTCGAAAGACAGTTAAGAGAATCAACAGTGATTCTCAATAGCCTCCCCTCAAGCTGGACAATGTATGTTTACCAGTCCAAGCTTGGGAATAATGGTTCCAAACTTGACGCGATGCGGAAATTTCGTGAAGATATCAGCAAGCTGTTCTTCGGACCGGACGGGGAGAAGGTGTAAGAGGCGCTCCTGGAGTTTTTCACGGACCACGTGACAATCAAGCTCTATGTGCTTGGTTCGTTCGTGGAAGCTTTGATTGTGGGCTATGTGGCGAGCCGATTTGTTGTCGCAATACAAAACAGGAACCCCAGATTCTTCAATTTGAAGGTCTTACAGAAGATAATGGAGCCACTGTATTTTGCATACAGTGGCAGCAAGAGCCCTGTACTCTGCTTCAGTGGAAGATCTGGAAACAGTCTTCTGCTTCTTAGATTTCCAGGAAATGAGTGATGATCCAAGGAAAACACAAAAACCCGTAGTGGATCTCCTTGTGTTAGGACAAGTGGCCCAGTCGGAGTCGCTAAAAGCCTTTAGTTGTTTGGGAGATTCAGCTGCAAAGAATAAACCTTCAGAGGGTGAGGACTTTATATATCTTAGGATATGTTGAACAGCCTGATAATGATAATGAGTGGGTTTTTGCATAAATTGACTGAGAAGATTGACAGTAAAACATAAATCAGGCCTAGTATTAGTAAGGTAGAGTAACTTCCCTATCAATCTTTTGTATGACTCAGGATTGGTCAGATAGTTATCCTCTTTGTATAGAGTGCTGGTGTCCTTTAGAAAGGGAGTAGAAGAAGGCTTGCAACCTTGTATCCCTGTTTCCTCAAGTATGTCCAGGGCATACTTCCTCTGACACAGATGAATTCCCTTCTTGGATCTTGCCACTTCAAGTCCAAGGAAGTATTTAAGTTCTCCAAGGTTCTTAATACGAAACCTTTTGTGCAAAAGTTCTTTAATGTTGTTAATTTCTTCCATAGAATTTCCTGCTAACACAATATCATCCACATATACAAGTAGAGCAGTAAAACCAGTAGCAGTTCTTTTGGTAAACAATGAGTGATCAGATTTGGATTGACTGTAATTCACAGATATAAGAAAGGCAGATAACTTCTCAAACCACTGCCTACTGGCTTGCTTTAAACCATATAAAGACTTAGTTAGCTTACAAACCAAACCTTCTTTACTAGTGTTCATACTTGGGGGTAATTGCATATACACTTCTTCATTCAAATCTCCATGTAGGAAAGCATTATCAACATCAAGTTGTTGTAAAAACCAATTGTTGGAAGCAGCAAGAGCAATAAGAAGTCTAACAGTAGTAAGCTTAGCTACAGGGGCAAATGTGTCGAGATAGTCTATTCCTTCCTGTTGGGTATAACCCTTGGCAACTAATCGGGCTTTATGTCTCTCAATACTACCATCTGCTTTGTATTTAATTTTGTACACCCATTTGCACCCTATGGGGAATTTTCCAGGGGGTAATTGAGTTAGGATCCAAATATTATTTTCTTCTAAAGCTTTGATTTCCTTATCCATAGCTTTTCTCCATTCAGCCTTGGTTTTAGCTTCAGTATAAGATTGGGGTTCTTTGTTATTAGTAATAGTCATAATATATTTTGAGTATTTTTCAGACAGATTGTCGCAATTTAACACATTATTTATAGGATAGGCAGTTTTAAAAGTATTTTTAATGGATAAAGATTGATGAACCTGATGGACATAGTCTTTTAGGTAGTCAGGAGTTTTTCTGAGCCTGTTGGATCTTCTGCTTATATGATTCTCTTGATCTTCAATGTCGTTACTATTGTCTCTGTTAACAGGGGCTTGTTCCTGTCTTTCCTGGTCATCAGACTCATCATTTCTATCTTCAGTCAAAGGATAAGAGTCCTTTAGAAGATCATTGAGAGATTCAGTTTTCTCTTCATTGTTGGCAGTGTCCTGTCTGTCTTCTTGCAAGTTGTTGTAAGGAAAGACATTTTCATAAAAGATAACATTTCTGCTTATGAACAGCTCTTTAGTATTTAAATCTAAAACAGTATAACCTTTGACACCACTCTTATAACCTAGAAAAACACCTTTCCTTACTCTGGAATCAAGTTTGTTTCTGCTATTTTCAAGAGTAGAAGCAAAGCATAGACATCCAAAAACCTTAAGATCTATATAAGCAGGAGATTTATCATAGAGCATGTCATAGGGAGTTTTGTTGTTGAGAATATGTGAAGGCATTCTATTTATTAAGAAAACAGCGTGCCCAACAGCATATGACCAATAAGCTTTAGGTATGTTTGATTGAAATAGAAGACTGCGTGTAACATTAAGTATATGACGATGCTTTCTTTCAACAATAGAATTTTGTTGAGGTGTCTCAACACAGTTGTTTTGATGATTAATACCATGTAAATTATAGAAACTTTCACATTTAAACTCTGGTCCATTGTCAGATCTGATGTTCTTAACCATCTTATTAAATTGGTTCTTGATTTTAATCACAAAATTTTGTTATAAATCTCTCGTTTGTCCTTTATTGTTCATTAAGAAAATCCACGTGTGTCTAGTATAGTCATCTACAATCGTGAGGAAATATCTATGACCATGAACAGAAATAGTACTTAGAGGTCCCCATATGTCACAGTGTATAATTTCAAAACTTTCATTAGTAGCAGAAATACTCTTAGGAAAAGGTAACTTGTGTTGTTTGGCAAAGTGGCATGTATCACAAACAAAATTATCATCAGTTTTGATATATGAAAAACTTTCACATATGTGCTTCATTGTTCTATGTCCTGGGTGTCCTAGTCTAAGATGCCACAGGTTAACATCAACATTCTTACAAGAGAAAACACCTTTTGAGGTATTGCTTTGAACAGGTTTAGGTAAGACTTGTAGGTAATAGAGCCCATTCCATGATTTAGCATATCCAATCGTCCTCAAAGTATGATTTTCCTTGATCTGACAATGCTTAGAAGAAAAAGTTAGGCTGCAATTCATATCCTTGATAAGTCATTGCACAGATATCAAATTAAAACAGAAATCTGGTATATAGAGGACATTGAAAATAGTAAAATCTTTGGCAAACTGTACAGTTCCAGCATGTTCAGCAATTAGTATAGTGTTGTTTGGTAGTTTTATAGAAATAGGTTTGATCTTGTAGAAGGTAATAAAATTGTTTTTACTGTGAGTGACATGGTCAGTAGCACCAGTATCAACAATCCAAGAAAAAATACCTCGTTCATTCTCAGTTTCATTTCTTTGAACCTGATTGATGTTGTGTGTGGGGGTTTCATCTATTCTGTCTATCATTTTGAGGAGTTTATGCATCTGTTCTGGCGTGAGAGAACTGAAACTGTTTCCATTGCTGATTTTTTGAATTTTCTGGGCTTCTTCAGAGTCAGTGTTGTTCTGGCAAACATTAGCACTCGTCCATTCATTTCTTTTGTCTTCCTTTTTGTACCAAGGAGGATATCCGTGTTTGGAATAACATTCATCTATGGTATGGTTCATTTTGTTACAGTAAGAACATTGTTTACCATAATTGGGATTTCTTCCCCTTCCTCTGCCTTGACCACGAAAAACAGTTCCCCTTCCTTGGTTCTCAGCACTTCTTCCTTGATTTTTCCAATTCTGGTCTGGTTTCCATTGACCATTTCTTCCTGCGACATTAGCTAGAGTTTTAGCCTCTGTAGAGATTTGTTTTTCTTGCCTTTCTTGTTGGATAATGAGAGAAAAGACACGGTTAACATTGGGAAGAGGGTCCATCAAGAGTATCTGTGTCTTGACAGTGTTGTAAGAATCGTTTAAGCCTTTCAGAAAGCATATTACATGCTCAGCTTCTCTGTATTTCAAAGAAATTCTGGACAAATCGCAGCTGCATGGAGTGGCACAAATGCAAGTGGGTATAGGCCTCAAAGACTCAAGTTCTTCCCACAATATTTTTAAATCTGTGAAAAATTGACTCACCCCCCTTTCACCTTGTCGGATGGAATGTATTTCTTGCAGTAAGTCAGAGATTTTGAAGTAATCTCCCTTAGAAAACCTTTCTTTGAGCTCATCCCATAGCTCTTTAGCCTCCTCAATGTAAATCACGCTTTCGGCAATGTGGGGGGACAAAGTTTTCGTTATCCAGGATAAAATCATAACGTTGCATCTCTCCCAGGGTCACTTTCTTGAGGTCTCTTTATGGTACCATCAATAAACTTCACTTTATTCTTTGACAGTAAGGCTCTCCTTAAGCTCCTGCTCCAGGATGAGTAATTGTTTTTGTTTAACACTTGAGTGATTAGAGTGAGCCCAGGATTTTCTCCTGGGTGTAAATAGTAGGGACTAGCTGGGTTAGTTGCTGGTTCGAATTGTTCCATGGTGGAATAAAGAAACCACCAGGAGGGCCCAAGAAACAGTCAAGAACAATCAGAGGGATGAACGGAAGCAGAGCAGACACTTAGACCTGCTCTGATACCATATTGCAACGAGCCCAGCACTATGCACTTAGAATATTGATGGCCCAATATCCCCGCTGGCCCATGTGGCTTATTATTCTGAGAATGGGATGCATGCGTGGCATAATACGGAGAATGAAAAGATTGAAGGAGAGAGAAGGTCGCGACAGAGAGCAAGAGGCGATGGAGAGAGAAGAGGTCGGCGGCTCCCTCCACGGTGCTTCGAGACGGTGGTGGCCGGTGATCCAGAAGAAGAAAAAGTAAATCGGAAAACGGTGAGTAAAGAAAACTTATCCTTTCTTTATTCTGATAAAAGTGTAAAACATGTATACAATGATATGGGAGAAAAAACGGGGGAAGGAACCCTATATATAGGGTTCCATGGAAGAAGGAAAAAACAAAAAGAACACAAAAAATGAGGTAACTGTCGAAAGACAGTTAAGAGAATCAACAGTGATTCTCAATATATCTGCCTTGATTTTATGGAAGACATTTATGAGAAGCGTAAAGAAAAGTAAATAAAAATAAGTTACAAATAGAAATAGTTGTATACATGTATAATTATAGTATGTTCTTTTTTTCAAAATTGGGTTTAGAGGTTAAATTACACACCAGATTTAAAAAAATTACGAATGCAGTGGAAGGTAACGTTTTTATATAAAGAAATCGTATACCTCAAACTTCGATGCATCATAATTTCGTATCGTTGTCGTATTAGAATTAATGTGAGTGTAAAATCACTTCAAACAATAACTGTTTATTATACCAACAATATAAATATAAATGACTCTTATTAACAAGTGTATTCTTTTTATCAAAATTTTGATAACTCTTATTAAGAATTGTATTCATAAATCTTTTTTCTTTTTCCGACAATAATACCGTTCCTTTTATCAATATCTTTTTTTAACTCCATTTAAAATACTTACACCGAATGATATCAGCGAAATCAATCTATTATTCAACACAAAAAAATAACAACAATATTATTATCAACAAATATTTTTATCAAAAATAATTAAATATGCTATTATTAATATAATCTTATAGTTAAGATAATCCAAAATTGTATTCTAGCATTTTTTAAAATTATTGTCTTTTTTATCATCATCATTTTACAATAATTGCAAATGGACATTATTTCAATTCTCCTTTAAAATGGACATTATTTCAATTCTCCTTTAAAATGGACATTATTTCAATTCTCCTTTAACCATTACCATGTAAGGAATGACAAATTCAATATCAACAAAGACAAAGAAGATGGACAATCAGACATACCTTATTAGCAACAAACACGATTTCGATCGACAATCAGAGATACATTATTAAGCAACAAACACGATTTCTGTATCAGGGAAGACTTTGCAAAATCAATAAAAAATCTCACAAAAAAACTCAGTTCACAAACCCTATTTCAAAAACTCTTTTTATGGCCGATTTTAGTTCTAGTATACAATTGATTTCAGTTCTAGTATACAATTAATTAGAATAATTCCACCTAATTGGAGAGACCACGTAAAAAAAACAAATTTCTCGTTCAAACACTGCTAACATGTACAATCTACCTTTAACAACTTAGACGACGTGATGAAAAATTATTAAATTAAATATAAATTAAGAAAATTAAAACCACATTAAATATCCAAAAAACAATAATAAATCTCACATTAAATAAAGCCGACGAAAATAAAAATCAAGTATTTAAACCTTAAATTAATAACACAAGTTCCGTAGTACTAAATACTTTTAGAATGATTGTACTGTGATGCTCTCTTATTTACATTGGGAGTTTTTTCATGTAAACACTTCACATAGTTTGGTTCTTCTATGGTATGCCTAGGGATGACCAGTTCATACAGCAATACTTGTGCCTTTTATCAGAACAAGAATACTCATATAACTACTAAAAAGATTATAGATATATAGTTATGTTTGGCGTTCACTTCATCTATGTGAAACAGAAAGCAACATGGTTAGATTTTATAATGAAGCCTTTATTTTCCTGGCAAAATTTGTGAGTGCTCCAGCGGCATTTGCAGAAGTGGCTGGATTGATGGCTTTCCAAATCACAGAGACATTCCTAACAGTGTTAACAGCATGTCCTGCACTTGCCAACACAGCCTCTCCTGCTTCTTCGCCAAACCTGTTGCCAAACCATCCATTTTAGCTAAGGTTACATTTATGTATCCACAACATAGGTGTTCAACATAGGGTGTATTTGTTTTCCTATTTAAACTGTTCAAAACTAAAAGGTTCAAGGTGTATAATTTAAGTCATCATCACAATGGAGAAAAAGTGTTGTCCAAGTTACTTAGAGTTCAATTTCAGGCATAAATATGTCAATGCGTATTCAACTATAAATTTTGGCTATATTATTTTTCAAGCAATATAATAATAATAATAATACCGGTTAGAAACCATTCTGGTTGCAGCTTTGGAGGTGGCAGAAAAGGTTTGCTTTTCAGCAGCTTCAGCTGCTTCAAAAACTCTAGCTGTCATTAGAAACAGAGATCAAGTTGATGGTGCTTGTTTAAAAGAATGAGATAAGCTTAAGGTGCTTATTTAGGTATCCAAGACAGCAACAATAAGGATCTTAAACTTTGGTTTGTTTGAAAAGTGTTACTTACTGACTGAATCAAGGGAAGCCAATGGCACCTCTGTAGGAAGCATCTTTAGTAATGCCTGTCCTGGTTGAGATTTAAGAACACGAGTCATCACTGATCCACTCGTTGTTGCAACACCATCAAGCAAAGATTTGGTTAACTTTTCTGTCATATTTGTCAGCTCTCTCACACTAGATTGCAAACATGAAAAGTAATGCAACTTAGTTTGTAATTGTACATATATGAAAATGGAAAGTTCTTATAGTCAATACTTTAATCCTTAAACATGAACTCATGACATAGTATAACTCAATCTCATCACATGTTTCAGTACCGTTTGAGGTTTTCGTTCATTCCACTGTTCTTTGTGGCATCATTCCTGTTGTTCATACTTTGTCTGACCAGGTTAGCATTGTTCTTTTCTGCAGCACTGTTTAGGATCGCTTCCCCCATTTTCTGGACCTGCTTTTCTTAACACGTTTTTGATGAAAAGCATAATGATTTATTTATTTATTTACAAATGAGGGGAAAAAGAACAAAGCATATACCTCAAATTTTATTCTAAGCCAAGCTGTAGACTGAAAATCTCATACTTCATTATTTTCATAAATAAGGACCTTGATGCACCATACTCACAACTCAAAAGTCTCACATTCAATTTGACTTTAACACAACATAGTCAATGTTTCAATCCCACTCAATCTTCCTAACATCAAGATTTCATATTGTAAGAACTAAGGAGTAATATAAGAGAAACACCAAAACATTTCATATTCTAACACAACATAGTCAATGCTTTTTCATCGAATGAAAAAAGTTATATTGAATTATGCTAACAACCTACTTTTAAACTGAACCCATTTAAACATAAATCATCTCAACTCAAAATCATTTTTAACCATAATGAAACAATTGTTTTGGTAAGTTGAAAGAAAGCAAAACAGAAAAAGAAAAACCAGTAAAGTGCTGGTGTTATTCAACAGATAAATCAAACCAAACCTGATTGGTGTAAGCATTGCTGCACATGAAGATACCCTTAACAATCTGACCAGTCCCTCCTGCAATGACCCTGGCAAGAAAGTGGTTGTAATCCTTAACCCTTGGGGCAAAATCCTCCCAATCAAGGTCACTCTTCTTGCTCCTTTCCAACCCAGAAAAGCAACAATGATCCTTCAGAAAAGAATCCAGCATCCCCATGTTCCCATAACACTGTTCTGGAAAGGTCACACCATAGCTCATAGGCTCACCACCGTCTTTCACAGGCAGAAAAAAGAGGTAGAGAAGATCATTCACCTTTACCACTGGCTCGTCCTTTGTCAAGGGCCACTGAAAACTGGCTCCGACTTTTATGACCGTTGCTAGTGCCACGTTCTGCTGCATCACCCTCATGATTGTGAAGTGCCCTTGACCCAGTTCAAGGGCTTCTCCTTCGTCCATCAGGTGAAATTTGCATCCTGGTATCTGTACCACAAGATCTTGTGTGGGAGTTTTGGGTTTCAGCAACTCTTGAAAACCTGCATGGGGTATGGAGCTTTTATATTGTGGCTGCACCTTGGAGGCTGGGCAACTCATCTCTGTTTTTGCTCTGTTTGCCATGTTCTTTCTTTGGGGTGTTAATGGAGATGGATTTGTCAACAGAAGGTTTTTCTTCAGGAAAATGATAACTCCTTTTTCTCCCAAAAGTATCTTCTTTTTCTGAGATGTTTTCCTCCACCTCCATGTATTTTTCCTACATCTCCAACTTTACCAAAATTTTTAGTGAATTCTCAGTATTATAAATCTTCTTTTTGATATCGATAATATCCTTTTCATCAATGTTTTGTTTTGAATATCACTTGAAATAATTATACCAATGACACTAGATAAATAATTCTATTATTCAACATAAAAATTAATAAAGATAATGTTAATTACAATAATTATTTTCACTAAAAATGATTAAATATGTTATTATTAATCTTGTAGCTAGTTAGGATAATTTTAAAATTATCTCTCAACATTTTTTTAAGTTATTGTCATTCTTATCATTGTCATGTTATCACAATTATAAATAAGAATTATCTCAATTTTTCTTGAATGATCACTATTATAAGGAATAACAAATTTGATGTCTTCGACTATTGCAACAAGACGAAGAAGATTGACAACTAAACCAACCTCACCAAGTAACAAACACAATTTTTATCTAGGGGAGGACTTTGTAAAATCAGTAAAAATTTCACGAAAAAACTCGTGCACTTTACAAACTCTAGTTCAAAAACCCTTTTTATGACCAATTTCGATTCTAATATACAATTAATTAAATTAATTTCACATAACACTATGTTGGACATGCCGCGTAAGAAAAAAGTAAACACCTCATTCAAACACGGCCAACATGTACCATATGTTCTTAACAATTAGACGACGTAAAAAATGACTAAATTAAATATAAATTACAAAAATTGTAACCACGTTGAACATAAAAAAAATTAATTTCTCATCAAAAAAAGTCGACGAAAATAGAAACCAAAAGATATTTAAACCTTAAATTAATAACACAAGTTACATAGTACTAAACACTTTAGAATGGTTTTACTCTCATGCTCTCTTACTTACATTAGGAGTTTTTTCATATAAACACTTCACATTGTTTGGTTCTTCTATGATGTCACTATAAGAAAAAAAAGGTATATTATTGAATTACCTTAAGTTTAAAGTTTATCTTTTAAAGTAGGTTAAGTATATTTTTAGTTCTTGAATTTATATACAAAATTAAAATCCATTCATCTTTCAAAGTGTGATACATTTTGGTTTCCAAACTTTAAAAATGAATGGATATAGTTCCTTTAATCTTAATTTCCTTTGTACTTGTTAAATGGTGTTCTATACTTGGATTTGATTTAAAGGTGCCAAAATGGTGCAAACAACTCAAACTCATCCTAAAATGTGTTTGACACATTAAAAAAATTTAATGTAATTGGATTATGAGAACTATATCCATATTCATTGTTAAGGTTTGAGAATCAAAATGTATCAANTCAGGCCTAGTATTAGTAAGGTAGAGTAACTTCCCTATCAATCTTTTGTATGACTCAGGATTGGTCAGATAGTTATCCTCTTTGTATAGAGTGCTGGTGTCCTTTAGAAAGGGAGTAGAAGAAGGCTTGCAACCTTGCATCCCTGTTTCCTCAAGTATGTCCAGGGCATACTTCCTCTGACAAAGATGAATTCCCTTCTTGGATCTTGCCACTTCAAGTCCAAGGAAGTATTTAAGTTCTCCAAGATTCTTAATACGAAACCTTTTGTGCAAAAGTTCTTTAATGTTGTTAATTTCTTCCATAGAATTTCCTGCTAACACAATATCATCCACATATACAAGTAGAGCAGTAAAACCAGTAGCAGTTCTTTTGGTAAACAATGAGTGATCAGATTTGGATTGACTGTAATTCACAGATATAAGAAAGGCAGATAACTTCTCAAACCACTGCCTACTGGCTTGCTTTAAACCATATAAAGACTTAGTTAGCTTACAAACCAAACCTTCTTTACTAGTGTTCATACTTGGGGGTAATTGCATATACACTTCTTCATTCAAATCTCCATGTAGGAAAGCATTATCAACATCAAGTTGTTGTAAAAACCAATTGTTGGAAGCAGCAAGAGCAATAAGAAGTCTAACAGTAGTAAGATTAGCTACAGGGGCAAATGTGTCGAGATAGTCTATTCCTTCCTGTTGGGTATAACCCTTGGCAACTAATCGGGCTTTATGTCTCTCAATACTACCATCTGCTTTGTATTTAATTTTGTACACCCATTTGCACCCTATGGGGAATTTTCCAGGGGGTAATTGAGTTAGGATCCAAATATTATTTTCTTCTAAAGCTTTGATTTCCTTATCCATAGCTTTTCTCCATTCAGCCTTGGTTTTAGCTTCAGTATAAGATTGGGGTTCTTTGTTATTAGTAATAGTCATAATATATTTTGAGTATTTTTCAGACAGATTGTCGCAATTTAACACATTATTTATAGGATAGGCAGTTTTAAAAGTATTTTTAATGGATAAAGATTGATGAACCTGATGGACATAGTCTTTTAGGTAGTCAGGAGTTTTTCTGAGCCTGTTGGATCTTCTGCTTATATGATTCTCTTGATCTTCAATGTCGTTACTATTGTCTCTGTTAACAGGGGCTTGTTCCTGTCTTTCCTGGTCATCAGACTCATCATTTCTATCTTCAGTCAAAGGATAAGAGTCCTTTAGAAGATCATTGAGAGATTCAGTTTTCTCTTCAATGATGACAATGTCATGTCTGTCTTCTTGCAAGTTGTTGTAAGGAAAGACATTTTCATAAAAGATAACATTTCTGCTTATGAACAGCTCTTTAGTATTTAAATCTAAAACAGTATAACCTTTGACACCACTCTTATAACCTAGAAAAACACCTTTCCTTGCTCTGGAATCAAGTTTGTTTCTGCTATTTTCAAGAGTAGAAGCAAAGCATAGACATCCAAAAACCTTAAGATCTATATAAGCAGGAGATTTATCATAGAGCATGTCATAGGGAGTTTTGTTGTTGAGAATATGTGAAGGCATTCTATTTATTAAGAAAACAGCGTGCCCAACAGCATATGACCAATAAGCTTTAGGTATGTTTGATTGAAATAGAAGACTGCGTGTAACATTAAGTATATGACGATGCTTTCTTTCAACAATAGAATTTTGTTGAGGTGTCTCAACACAGTTGTTTTGATGATTAATACCATGTAAATTATAGAAACTTTCACATTTAAACTCTGGTCCATTGTCAGATCTGATGTTCTTAACCATCTTATTAAATTGGTTCTTGATTTTAATCACAAAATTTTGTTATAAATCTCTCGTTTGTCCTTTATTGTTCATTAAGAAAATCCACGTGTGTCTAGTATAGTCATCTACAATCGTGAGGAAATATCTATGACCATGAACAGAAATAGTACTTAGAGGTCCCCATATGTCACAGTGTATAATTTCAAAACTTTCATTAGTAGCAGAAATACTCTTAGGAAAAGGTAACTTGTGTTGTTTGGCAAAATGGCAAGTATCACAAACAAAATTATCATCAGTTTTGATATATGAAAAACTTTCACATATGTGCTTCATTGTTCTATGTCCTGGGTGTCCTAGTCTAAGATGCCACAGGTTAACATCAACATTCTTACAAGAGAAAACACCTTTTGAGGTATTGCTTTGAACAGGTTTAGGTAAGACTTGTAGGTAATAGAGCCCATTCCATGATTTAGCATATCCAATCGTCCTCAAAGTATGATTTTCCTGGATCTGACAATGCTTAGAAGAAAAAGTTAGGCTGCAATTCATATCCTTGATAAGTTGTTGCACAGATATCAAATTAAAACAGAAATCTGGTATATAGAGGACATTGAAAATAGTAAAATCTTTGGNTTCATTTTTATGTAACGGGTAAGATACTAATCTCACGAAATAATATATTGTTCTAATTTGACTTCTTTTTTTTTGTATTCGGAATCAGTATAACATTCCACGCTGGAATAGAACAAATATAACATCCCACGCTCTAATAGAAAAAGCTAAGTATTTATTGCATATGCAGGCATGCCAATTTCTCTACTCTTACGAGTGTTACTTTGGATATTTTCCATTTCTGCGTAATTGTTATAATAAATCTCTTAGGAATATGTTGCTTTTTATTTCATTTTCATTAGCAAAGTGGAACAAATGAGATTTTATTTACGAATGTAGAAAAATGCATAATAGTACAGTAAGTCCAAATGATACAAATTATGTGAGGGTAAAATGACTTTAAACGATAACTATGTTTATTATACCAATAATACAAATTATAAAAATTGTATTTTTTTTCCCAAAATTTTTAGTGAATTCTCAGTATTATAAATCTTGTTTTTCATATCGATAACATCCTTTTCATCATTGTTTTGAATATCACTTGAAATAATTATACCAATGACATTAGATAAATAATTCTATTATTCAACATAAAAATTAATAAAGATAATGTTAATTACAATAAATATTTCCACTAAAAATAATTAAATATGTTATTATTAATCTTGTAGCTAGTTAGGATAATTTTAAAATTATCTCTCAACATTCTTTTAAGTTATTGTCATTCTTATCGTTGTCATGTCAATTATAAATAAGAATTATCTCAATTTTTCTTGAATGATCACTATATGAAGAATGACAAATTCGATGTCTTCGACTATTGTAACAAGACGAAAAAGATTGACAACTAAACCAACCTCACCAAGCAACAAACACAATTTTTGTCTAGGGGAGGACTTTGCAAAATCAGTGAAAATTTCACAAAAAAACTCGCGCACTTTACAAACCCTAGTTCAAAAACCCTCATGACCAATTTCGATTCTAATATACAATTAATTAAATTAATTTCACATAACACTATGTTGGACATGCCACCTAAGAAAAAAGTAAACACCTCATTCAAACGCGGCCAACATGTATCATATGTTCTTAACAATTAGACAACGTAAAAAATACTAAATTAAATATAAATTACAAAAATTGTAACCATGTTGAACATAAAAAAAATTAATTTCACATTAAACAAAGTCGACGAAAATAGAAACCAAAAGAATATTTAAATCTTAAATTAATAACACAAGTTACATAGTACTAAACACTTTAGAATGGTTTTACTCTCATGCTCTCTTACTTACATTAGGAGTTTTTTCATATAAACACATTAGGAGTTTTTTCATATAAACACTTCACATTGTTTGGTTCTTCTATGGTATGTCACTACAAGAAAAAAAAGTATATTATTGAATTACCTTAAGTTTAAAGTTTATCTTTTAAAATAGGTTAAGTATATTTTTAGTTCTTGGATTTACATGCAAAATTAAAATTCATTCATCTTTCAAAGTGTGATACATTTTGGTTTCCAAACTTTAAAAATGAATGGATATAGTTCCTTTAATCTTAATTTGCTTTGTACTTGTTAAATGGTGTTTTATACTTGGATTTGAGCTTAAAGGTGTCAAAATGGTGCAAACAACTCAAACTCATCCTAAAATGTGTTTGACACATTAAAAAAATTTAATGTAATTGGATTATGAGAACTATATCCATATTCATTGTTAAGGTTTGAAAATCAAAATGTATCAAAGTTTAAGACTAGAATAAATCTTAATTTTATATCCAAGTTTAGGGACTAAAAATATATTTAACCCTTTAAAATATTATTAGTATCATTCAAGTTTAAAGTTCATATTAACCATAAATAAGAACAATTATTGATGTTGGACCCAAAATGGTAGATTTTCAAAATAATTCCTCTTGTGATATTCTAAAAAAAAATAAGATTTATATAAAGAAATTATTTGTTGTTCTATAAGTGTTACTTTGGATATTTTCCATTTCTATTTCTCTTCTAAAAGGTTTATGCATTATGATTTGCTTAAGTTCTTGCTCATGGGATGCTTCCTAAACAATTCTTTCTCTCATCCATGCTCCTCTTATTTTGTTTTTATGATTTAAGATGACAAACAACCTAAGAAACCTATGGCTTAATGGTATATCTCCCACCCATTTATTTTCCTAAAATTTGATTTTATTTCCTTTTTCCACAATGTAACCTGTTATTAAAACCAATTATTTTGTTGTCCTACCTCACATACCTTGTGCAAGTCACTCCAATATCATGATTCTTCCTTCACTTTTTGTATTAGTATTTAAATTCCTCCATGATCCACACATGAATTCCAATATTTTCAACCACAATCTTTGCTTTTCCACTTCTAGTGTCATATGTTGTTATTTGTTAAATTTATGATTGTCCTTCCTCCTTTAGAAATATGTTGTTATTTGTTAAATTTATGATTAGATGTATGTTTTTGCTTAGCTGCACAACATGCAAACAAGATCAAATCAATTTTAAATGTTGTATTTGGTTCAAATTCTATTAGTTGCATTGTACTATATAAATACTAAAACTCACTACTCACACAGTTTCCATGTAATTGATTTAAACTTAGGTTAAGTTAAAATTAATATATTTATTTTAAAAGTAAGGTTAAAGTAAAATACAGTATAAGCTTTTTAATCAGGAGAAGCTATTTAAAGTTGGTTAAATCAGTAATCGAGTCCTCTATGTAAAATTAAATACATGAACATTTACTTTAAATCGCGTTACTAGTCATTATGAAAAATTTAACTTAAAAAAAACCTAAAACTTGTTAAATATTTTAAAATTAATTTTACATTCAAAATCAACTCTTCAACGGCAAAGTAAACATATATATATATATATATATATATATATATATGAACATTACTTTAAATCACTTTAAATGACAACGTGATTATGAGAAATTCAACTTTGAAACCAAACACTTATAATGTTGAATAGTTTATGAAAAACTTGTGTTCTTCTGTCTCCATATACAAAACCGAAACGTGCTAGAAAAATTCATTTTCTTCTTAAACCAGAAAGCAGAAAACCATAACGAGATTTGCTTTTGAAAATTTGAGCATTTGATTATCCAGAAGTGATAAAACTTCATCAATGTTCAGACATGCAGCTGTTTTTGTGTACTTGACACTTCATGACTATGTATATAATTATGATATAGAGTAATGTTGCATAGATAGATAAACTAGTTGAATCTGCAAAAGATGAAAGCTGAAACAATAGAAGAAGATGCAAAGGCCACAAACGCAATGAAGGATAAAGCAATAGATGCCTTCGCAATTTCCAAGAACTTGTCTCCATCTGGAACTTCGTTTGTCCAATAATGTGCTGTGGTCGCAGCTGAAGATGATGCCGACATTAGAAGATAGGCCATGACCTGAAGTTTTTCAACCCATCAAAGACCATTCTTAATTAGTATGTGATAAAATATATGCCATGATCCATGAACTATAAACTAAAAATAGTTACCTAGAGGTCGAAGAATATCCATATAACATGCATGCATGCATTGCCACCATAGACACGAAAATTTTTTCCATTTTTAAGACACATAGGAGATTTATTAAACAACTAATTACATGAAAGCATTTTATGCATTAAATTTGTTTACAATATTTCTATAATGATATTTTTTTACGTGAGTTCCTTCGTATTAACACATCCTATTGAAACAAATTACTTATTTGTACCCTCGTTCATCATAATAAGATATATTAGTGTGATTTTTCATTAAAAAAACTTTTAACACAAGAATTAATTGTTTATAATATTTTCATAATAATAGTAATAATATTGAGGTGAATTCCTTGATACTAGCGCATTCTATTATAATTAACGTAAATATCTCTTACTTATACTTTTGTTCATCATAATAAAACATGTTTGTTTTACTTTTCATTAAAATGACTTTTAATACAAGAATTAGTTTAAGTCGGTCACCAAAATAAAGTTTCAATTTTAATAGGAGATTTAATGAAAAAATACACTAACAATAAGATATAAGTCTAATTCAAGTAATGAATTGACCTCATTTCAAATTCAAAACCTTAAAAAGTTAGGTTTATTAAAACCTTAAAAAATTAGGCTTATAAGTTCTTATTATATGTTGTTGAATTTTCTCAATTATAGTAATAGTGTGACTTAACTCACGCTTACTCTTAGAATAACACGTTTTACCAATTAATAATATTACAAGAGAAATGTGAATCACAAATAATTTGTATTAATTAAATATTTTGCAATAGGGTGTTTCATAATAGTTTTAAAAGACTATTAATTATTACTTTGAAATGGATAAACAGAAAAGAATGTTTTAACTAGAGAGCACGTTATTGTTGAATTAATACATTCTTTTCTTTAATGTCGTTGCTTATTATCCAGATTATGAAGATAAAACTCTGATTCTGATTCAAAAATTATCTTTCCCTTGCAGAATTCTGAGTAGCATGGACCAAAATCCGACTACGTACTGGTTTATATATAGAACTGATATAGAATGAAAATACCTGATGAACTGTGACATGATAATTTTTACCTGATCAATAGCAAAGTTGAGGTAACCACGTAGTTTGGGATTGATTGTGTGTCGTTTTGTGACGAAGTACTTTCCAAGATCAAATATTTGTAATGCAGAATACACAAATCCTATCACAGTCACTGATAAACAGAACCTAATACACAATCACACCCAAAGATTAGCGAAACCTAATGCAGCTACAACAATGGCAATTGCACCAAACAGAAGCAATCATTTTTCTATCAGATTTGCGTACTTTATGTAAAAAAAACACCAATGCTTGAGAGACTAGAGTGAACTTACTTGAATTCCTGAAACTGATACCAATGTAATTCATCAGAGTCTAATAATGGTGTTGCATAGGTAAAAGTATACCACGTGTCTGGCGGTGATTCATTCCATCTTCTTGATGGTGCTTGATGCACTTTTTTCCTTCTATCAGAAGCCAACACAGAGAATGCTAACTTGCAGAACACAAAAGCAGCAATTCTCAGACTGAGAAGAACAATGTACCACTTACTCACTTTCTTGGACACTCCATCATCATCAGCAACAGCATCACGTGCCCCTTCTTCAACTTTTTCCACAGCCATCACTGCCACACTCTTGCTACTCTTACTCACTGCCTCCTTCACGACCTTGATGGCATCATCACTCATGGACTGAGAGTGGTTAGCCACCACCATCTGAAGGTCACCGTCGCTGAAAGAGTGGTTGCTGTGAGAGTTGTTGAACGAGTCTTGAAGGGTTGGAGCTGAAGGAGGTTTTGAAATTGAGTGGTGGTGGTGCTGCTTGTGGCTTTGCTCTTTCTTCTTTGAGGGTTTTACTTCTTCTTCTTCTTCTTCTTCTGTCTTCTCTGAGTGCCTTTTCATTCTGCCACCTTTCTTTTCTTCAGATGGAGTTTCACTTTTGGTTGTGCTCATGCTCAATGTCTGATCAACAGTGCTTTTGAGATTCATAACATGCACTAGATCACTTTTTTCACTGGATATGTCTCTTGTTTGATGGATGATCAATATACACATTGTGAATGCTAGTTCATGATTATATAACTCATCAAACTACCAATTTTTAGTAATTTATTTTGTAGCTTTACTCGTTCTATATTTGTTTTTAGTAAAACTTCAAGGGAGCAAAGTAATCCATTCCCTTATAAAATCTAGAAGCTTGTCCAGATTTGTTAAAATAATATTGAATAGAGATTATCACTAATCACCATTAACAAATTAAGTCTACTAATCTGACCTTTAGAATAAGTGAAATTGCATAAAAGCAATGCATGTTTAAAATACATATCCTATGAGCTTCTGCTTCAAACGTAACACCACACAATCACTCTGCAAATTATTGGTTAAACTTAAGCCGGCCCTTAATTAAATCATTAATGTGCCCTTCTCTTCCATTACAATGTTATTTGTGCCTCCAACAAGTAAGTAAAGAACAATGCTGCTTTTTGCTTTCTTTTCTTTTCTTCTTCACATTTTTCAAATCAAACTACATTTTCACAGACACATAGAATGACAACCTTTGTTTATAAAATAAGGGTCATGATTTAAGATTTTTAATTATACAATAAATTAGATAATAAAATTTTAATTTCAACTCTGAAAGAATTCGAACATCATATATATTTAAATTTTGATATTGATTTCGAATTTGAAGTCTTAATTTTCTGTCCAATTCCTTCTTCTAAAGGTACACCAATTATTGCAACAGTTTCTAACATAACTATGGTCATAAGTAAGAGCCAAAATCAGCATTTGACATTTTGAAATTGTGATTGAGAAATGTGTAATTTTGTTTTCAAGTGGCTTTTCTTCTGCTTCAAACTTTCTTACTTAATTATGGGTTCTACGAAATGTTAGTTTATATTATTGATTCTTAACCACATTTTCTAGCATAACTATAAGTCACAAGTAAGGGACCAAATTTGTTGTTTATGCCATGAACTCCATAAGATTGGACCACTAGGTCAACTATCTATCTAATAGAATTGTGTTTAGGGTAGAATTTTGGAAATATTTAACCTAAAAGCAAGTTCTGATCTCATCGTAAATTTAATATATTCGGGATGAAATATGATTTTCGTTCTTCCAAAATTTTATGTTTGTTTTTGTTACTCTAAGACTTTTGGTACATTTTAGGTTTAAAAATAAATTAAAAAAATGTTTTATTCTGTTTAACATCTAGCATTGAGAAATCGGACGTGAACCATGTGGACTTAATGCATTGTGATCAAAATTTTCCTAACATTTGTTGCACAACTTTGTTTGATAATGTTGATCAAATTGAAAATGTATCATAACAGTCTGAGAGAATATCTGGATTGGGAGATTTGATGCATCTTCATCAAGAAGGAGAGATAGAGTACGTGGTTTTAGAGAAAACCTCGAGTTGCTATACAAACATACGTAAAATTACAAAGAACCATGATATCTTAACAACTTATTTATAATAGATTATGTGTCATTATTTTATTGGTCCGTATATTTGAAACGGACTAATCACAAGCTAGCACATATGTTGTTGTAAAAAGTTGTCAAAAAAAGTTGTTAAAAATATATTTTTCAATCACAAAATCATAATATTAGCCTATTAATATAATATATATGTGGTTAAATTAAATTTTAATTTTTCAAACAACTTTATTGAGCTAATGAAATCGTATATATAAATTTTGTGACAACTAGAATGGGTATCCGCATGTCTCATAACAAGTGACTATGTTTTAAATTTTTGTATAACCAAATATGATTTTAGGTTTAACCCATTAAATTTGTTGGCTTTTAGCGGCTTAATTCATGAATCCGTAAATACTTTAATGAAAAAGTTATACAAATAATCCATTATAACAAATTTTACATAGTTTAATAGATTGTCTTTAACAAACAAATGAAAAACATAGATATTTTAATTTCATTAATTTGTCATTTTATTCATATTATCATTTGAATCCATGCACCAATGCAATGCATAGTTGGTGGCTTTAGTGACTTTATATCCTTTTAGGTTTAATTAGTAAGTTAGTTTCATGTTTTATATTTTGGTTTGTTTTGATTGTTATATTTGATTTTTATATATGAGTTCTTATTTTTATAAAAAGATTCAAGATGATTTTCTTTTTGTTAAATTAGCGTTAATAATATTTGAAAGTGACATGTCAAAAATTATATCTGTCGCGTATTAGAATTTGGATCATTTTTTATTCTAAAATTTATCTGATTTTAACAAGTAACACCTTTAAAGCAGAAAATAACTTAAATACGTGAGTAATATTTCTAAACAACGTTAAAAACAGTTTAATAAAAGGAAACATATTGAGTTTTTTTTTAAAGAATGATTTAACTACTTTAATAAAAGGAAACACATTAAATCTTTTTTTAAAAAAGATAACTTAATTTAGTTTTTTTATTAAAAAAACATAAATATATGGACCAAAAGAATCAATCAAATATCTAAATATAAAAACTAAATTACTAAATAAATATTTTTATTAAAATTTAGAACGGTTAAATTAACAATTTTCACGAGATTATGATTAAAAATATATTAAACTAATTCTTTACATATTTCATACATTAAAAATATATTAAATTAATTCCTTTCATATTGTTTAAAAAGGAAACATTGTAAGTTTCTATAATTAGAACATGAAATACTTAGATAAAATACTTTGTTGATGACCTCCTTTTATTGTGAATATAATAGAACAAAATAGTTTTTTGTCTAAATCTTTAGTCATTCTTTTACTTCATTATCTGATATAAATTATAAATTAATTAAAATATAAGAAACAAAATTGAATACGTATGTCAAATTCAATCTTATTGTATCATAGCGGACCATTTCGTATGGCACAAGGGTACGAATACAAAAGCCTTTTTTCGAAGAATATAATATTTACTACTTACTTAAGTATGACTATAATAATTTTTTTTCCTCAAAAATTTTATAAATAAATAATCTTACCTTAACTCAAAAACTCGTTTCAATGTTTATTTTCTACTTCTATTATGAAGTTATTCAAACAAATCCAATATATTTTGAAAAATGTCTGAAATAACTCTTAATATATGAGATGAAACAATAAACTATGCTTAGAATAAAATTATTTATTTATTTCAATTGGCAGAAAAGATATCAATGTATAAGGTTACTCATGAACTGCATTAACCCTCCTTTATTTGTGTTAGCATTAATAAGTTTAAAACATCAAGGAAAAACGAATGGAACTTGTTCTAATCCCTAAAATAACCTAAAACTAACTAAATTAACTACCAAAAAACTGGAAAAACAGGAATTATGAAATGGAACTGAAATCTAAAGCTTGGAGCAGGTTTATAAGCATGAAAACAATTGAATTAAAGCAATTACAGTAGAATTTAATAACAAAGACAGAAAATCAGAAGTAGAGTTGCAAATCAGCAAAATTGAAAACCAACGATATCAATTATATAAGTTGTGTTTCTGTTGTTTTTGATATGGAATTCATTTCTATCAAAAGAATAAGGCATATGAACATCAAAGGAACAAGAAACAACACATAAAGCGATCGAATGCAGAGAAATCACAATTAACCAAAGAACACAGTGAATGAACAACAAAAACTACAAAACTGTCAAAAACACAATAGAACTCTTATTCAAACTTGAATTCCCAGTACTTTTGATTTCCAAGAGTTACTTTGAACTTCTTGGATGAAAATATGGCCATTTTGTGCTCACTAAACTAGTGAGGTTCCTTTGCACTCACACTAGCTTAGCTTAATACAAAAGTATAAAAAACACAGAAAATCAATAGTAAGAAAAAACCATTCACTCAGCAACAATGAGAATGGGTATGATTGTAAATAGTCAAAATCCCTATGCAGATACTCCAGAGGCAAAAATATTCCTCAAAGACTAATAAAATAACACCAAACTGAAACCCACAAATCTAGGTATTTAACTTAGTTAGCTTTCACGTGCTGCAGAACAACATTATAGGCTTCATGTTCCTCCCCAAAATCCTGCAAAAATGCAAATACATAAACATCCGTATACATTGAAAGGCACTCCAAAACATCAATTCAAAAACAATCCAACGAAGCCATACCTTAACAACCACACATGAGCAACCAGTTACCTTCCTAGCCTTTCCCTCTGAATCAATCTTACACAACTGAAACAAAAATTAGTACAAGAATAAAATCCTTATGAACATTCACCAACTGAATTTAGGAATTGGGAGTAAAGCAATGCACAGAACATTACAAGCATGTGAACAAGTTTTACCAGCAGCATCTACAATAATTGTTTACATACTGATATGTAATACATTATATACTATATATTTAGTTTTCCTTATCCCGTAATTCCTAATCAAGACTAAGGGACAGTCACTACCATTCAATTCTCCGTTAAATTTATTAGCAGTGCTTACCCATGCAGTCCTTGCACATTTCTCAACCCCATTGGAATTTTCCAAAAACAATTTCCTAGATGATCAATGCCGCAACAAAAATGCTAACACTACCCGGAACAATAATAGACCATGGTAGATAGTTCACTTCATTAATTTCAACAAAAGGAATCAAAATCCCAACTCCAATTAATTAAATTAAACCACATGAAGTGATAAAATCAGTTGAGTTTTAATCATCAATGTGTTAAAATCGAAAATTGAAACTGCCAAAATCCAGGATGGGAAAAATATCCGCATATTTAAAACGGCTAGTAAACAGATTTTTAGTGGCATATCCGTAGCCAACCCGTTCTCATCTCTAACCAAATCCGTCATAATCGGTACAAAAGAGAGGAGATCAGTCCAACCATTACAACATATCAAACTAGCTTGATAGTCATTACATCGATAGTACTAACCATGAATATAAGTTCGGCAAGAAATAAACTCGATCCATACATAGCATAAGATCGATCCACTAGAGATTTTACTCTGTTTTATTTTTTCACATAGGTTTGTTTAGGATTTGTTTATTTCCAAATTTTATCTCTTCCTTTGTGAAGATGGGAGATACTTTTCTCATATTCATATTTTGGTCAAATTTCATTATTTTTAATTGACAATGCATATATTTTTGCATGATCTTTTTGGTGCATATATCTATTACTTTTTTACATTTGTGCATTTCAACCCTCAAAGAAAATTTTTGCATTTTTTTTTTCAAAAAGATCTTTAATTCAACCAAACCATTCTCACTGTCATCTAAATCGGACCAACCAGCTCTACAGTCATCTAGACTACACTAACTCGACAATAAGTTCAAGACAACACCAAACTAACCCGACAATCATTCCAATCAGACCAGACCAATAGTCATATAAACCAAAGTAGAAAAGCCTAACAATTGTCACGTTGGTAGCCCAACATACCTTCAGACTGGCCCAGCCTAGATTTTAATCAGACCAGACCCAGTTTGATAATCATTCAAACTAGACAAACTAACCCAAAAAAGTAAGGATATTAGATTTGATGACAGAAAAAAAAAATCAAAATTAGAGAAACATCTTACCAGTCCGGGAGTGACGAGTTGTAAATTACAACTCAATTTCAATTATTCTTATAAAAAACAAAATATATTTGTCTTGAAAATGAATGTCGTTGATTGCAGAAGTCAAAAAATAGTCCTATACAAAATAGACAAGTCTTATTTTACATTTTCACAAACAAATAAATCAAGTGAGGCCTTGTTGCAATCCCTGGGTGATTTCCATCAAAATGTGTTCATTCACCTACTTTTATTCGTGAATGCATTTATTTTCTTTAAGTATATACATCTACAGTTACCAACCATTTTTAAAGTAAAAAATAGATTTTCGTATGCTACAGGCCAAGCGATATAAACATTGGTTCAAAAGAAATGTAATTAAGGGCAGGTTATTACAAATTACTTGCGGCTAGAGACAAATTAAGAGAAGGTTGAAGTGAACTTAAACTTAACCATATGTTCTGGGTCAATTATAACATGATATGTTAGGGTAAGCTTAAAAGGAACGAAATTAAATGGGTTATTTCTTATATTTTATTAGTAGTAATATGGATAAACTTAGATGAATGAATATTTAGCTGATTTTATTAGCAGTAATATGGGTAAACTCAAATGGGAGAATATTTAGTAGATTTGATGAGTAGGAATATTTTGATGTTTTAAAAAAGAAAATATCAAGAATTTAATCAAAATGTATTAAGTTAAAAAATAATACGTGAGATCAAGTTAGGATAGATAAAAATAGATCGACTTGTGATCGGATAATAATAGGTCGTGTACACTGCATCTCCGTAAGTAAATTTCCATACTCAGTTGACAGGCAAAGAAAATTATAATAGTGTAAACCTACAGAAAATATGTAGAAGGTTAATAATGAGAACAAAGAAGAATGATAATGAACTTCAATATACGTTCACGACAAAAATTCACTATCAAATAAATATTACATCTCTTGCTTAACTTTACGTTTTGATTTATCGAGTTAAACTCCCAACTCTCATTTAAACAAATTGTTAGTACAATGCCCAATTATGTAGAAATAATTGTCATTATTAATTAACTTCTATAAATTACGCTTGAACTAATAATGGAGAAAATACGTGAAAAATACTTTTACTAATGAGCTCAAAACCTCGTATAGACAGACTCTCAAATGATATATGAAAGAAGCTATGATCCGATACCATTAGAGACTCTAAAATCAAACACCTATTGATGAAAACATACAAACCAGGAAGAACAAATGATCTTGAATCATCATACTATCTTCAATTATCAGATTATATGAAACTATCAAACGATCTATAGTATCATATCACAAAGGAATCTTAACAAGAATTATTTATGTATGTTCATAATAAAGGTGGTACAATAAAAGAAATTTGTGCACGTTACCTTACAATCAGTAGATAATAGATTTTAATAGCTTTTCATGAAAATTAAACATTAAATTACGCTTATTTTACTTTGAATATATCAATACGATGATGTTATAAGGATGAATCATACCATTGAGAACACTAAATTTTGTATTGATGGATATTTACTAGACATCGATGAAAATAAATATAGCAAACAACCTTCAAACGACAATGGCTATCAAGACAATAACCTTCAAATGTATATATTGACAATAACTTTTTTTTATTACGCCCAAAAAGGACAATCTTTCACTAACAAGGACCTACACAAAATACAAAATGCTATACGTATCTTTTGTTTCGCTAATACAAAATACTTTACACAAATTAATCCTATCAAAATATTATACGTATCTACCATTTATATCCACTTGAAAACACAATAATATGTTAACAAAAATCAATTCTATCGTTCACAATACCACATTTTTTTAAAGGATCAAAATAAATTATTTAGGAACGAAATATGAATTTTCAGAATTTTATAATCACGAAAAACATCATTTACCTCAATATTTATAAATCAACAAATTTATCATAAATGGTGGTTTGAATTTAGTGTATTTTACTGTGTCCGTGCCTAACTTTCTTTCTCCTTTTTATTGTCAAAATTGTTTTTATCATGTTTTAAGTTACAAATTGAATCGTTTAAGCTTCGAGAAATCTAGAAAAAGAACCACGAAGAAACTAGCACTTTGATTTAATGAACATGAAATGTATTTGTTTATCAAAATAACCTCGAACAGAACGAGAAAATCTAAAGATGAAATGAATTCATGTACTATTTTCTGCCTATAAAAATTATCCAAACGAATTTCTTACTCAGACCCAACTAACTTTTACATAAGAAATGAACGGAATTTTCAATTAATGAGAAATAAATCAATAAAACACAGTCACGAAACAATGGATTGGATGAGTTCACAACACTCAGACCGTATGATGATTTCTTCTTTTGCATACAACACGGGTAATACATATCAAATTATCAATAATCATCAAAACCTAGACACAAAATCCGAGCAATCCAGTTACACTTATATGCAATGTTCCAATAAATTTATTTTACGTTGCATCAATTACTGATTATCCATATGGGGGAAAGTCAATATTCCACAATCACGGATTGCAGAAATTCCTATGCAACAGCTCCAGTAAGGTAGCTATTTAACGAAACTGATTTTACATTGTACAGATAAACAAGCTGTCGGTAGCTAAGGACCAGATCAGTGGTCATGACTCAGTAAAGAAGAATTCATGAGCTTCACGATATCGTTCCAAGACAACATTAAAGAGGGGATGGATAGGTTCTAATAGATTAGAGTAGGGGCCCAATACTAGCTTAGGAAGAGGTGGAGAATTGGGGTGCTTTGACCAGCTATATTGGCACAATGAGAGCCCACTTAAACAGTAACATGTGTGATAATGATCTCTACGTTTACCTGGTTTGTCTCTCAATCCACCTTCTTGCTCCTACATCATGTAAAATAGAAATGCAAATTTAAAAAAAAAAATGAAGTTAGTAATGGAAGTGCAAAGGTAGAATTGGTTGAAGAAAGGATATAAATCAAATGTCAGAGAATGGAGGATGGTCTAATCAGGAAAATATCAGTTACCAAATTTTAAACTTAGCTTTTCAACCGTAGGAAAATAAGTCAACTGATTCAATACCCTTTTTGTTTTGGCAAAATGTCAAATGATTTAACTAAGATTTTGATCATGTTAAAGTTCACACATATATTTAAAATCACAAACTGTAATCCGTCTTTGGACGATTACAGAACAAATGTAAGACGATCAAAATTTCAAATGTTCAAACTAGTGGACAAGATGAAAACATACAAAATTGAATTCTCATTTCAAGCTTTCAAGGACTCGACAAGGCATATTTAAGCGAGAAATTAGAAATATGAGGATTAAGATACCAAAGATGTGGATAAACTGCAGACCTGGGCACACAAGAGAATGTATTGCTGTAAAGCAATACTGTGAAAAAGTGGTTCTTGTGCTCTCCACTCATTAATAAATTTATAAGCAATGTTTTTAAGATCAGTTGAACCAGATTCTATAGCACCTGCGAGAATTAGAATTTAAAGAAGTATCAATATCATTAGAAATGAAATTAGAAAGAATATAGATATTAAAGTCAACATAACTCATGAGTACCACGGTAAGTTGCATGAGTAGAGGTTCCAGCCAAACTTTCTTTATCTTCAGATACATTAGATATCGAAAAAATCTGTGAGGTCTCTTCCATTTGTTTGTCAATAATAGAATATAATCTTTGCAATAGTGCAACAGCACCTCCCTGAATACATTCAAGTTTCAATCCAACTATATTACAAAGGTTGATTTATAAAGTGTAAAATGCCAATCACCTGCCAAAAGGAATAGCATCCATCCACTAATTTATTTGTTCTTCCCTGGAATCCACATTCCTTACCTTGCCGGCATACCACCCAGTCCTAATGCAAAGCCACAGATGATTAAATCATTAACATCAGCTGTGGACAACTTCAAAAGGTCACATGAATAATTGGAAGCTAATAAATAGGAAAGAAACAATTCTCTTACAATTAACCGAGGCAGATCCAAGCGACTAGCCTCACCAATCAGAATCATTGCAGCTAATCCACAGAAGGTGTACCTGACAAACAAATTGCCAAAAATAAGAATGCTTTGCATACCTCCTTTCGGTTTTAATTCCGCCTATCTTGCTGAAGAGGTAAAATAAGAGGAAGGGAGGGTGAGAGAAAGAGATGATGATACATACCCCCCATGAGCCTCAGAACCAGGCTCGCCTCCAATGCCACCCTCATATGTTTGACAGCTGCAGAAAAGCACCAGATTATAAGGCATGTGTTTACATAACTTTATATAACAATTATAAAAGAAGTAATTATATTGTAATTAGAGGAAAATCTTCCTAATTAGAGAAAATATCCATAGAATCTTCCTAATTAGAACCCATTAATTATTTCAATTTCAGCTGATCATTGAACTGATAAAGCCACGGATAGATGGATGAGTAATTAGCTATCTAAATAATGTCTAATATAACAATTGCCAAAGGCATTTTAAAGCATTAAAGTGTGGAGAGAATTTGGTAACCATGGCATAACATACCACTGTCATCATTGTGACTACTCGGACTTTCATATTCCAAACAATACAAGTGTCAATCCATTTAAGGCAAGAAACAGTTAAAGAAGTGATCATAAAATAGTTTTCTCAATGCTATGATCCATTTAGAGCACCAAAAGAATGGAATGGAGAAAATTCAGTAATAACATTTTGACTAAGGCAGCTTTCAATTATTAACAGTGGCTGTACTTGAAGTCACACGTGAGGCCACATATAATAAATGAAGAAAAACAGTTTGTTTCAATGCAAGCATATTTTGAATGCTTGCAAATTGATCTTAAGGAAACAAAAGTCACGAATTTAACTTGTAAGAAGTGTCTATGCTATATATTTCCCTCCAAGCTGGAAGCATACAGATAGACTTAGCACCAGAATTGAAGTTATTGCTAAGCTAACCTTAAAATGTAGTCTCCAACATTCTGGATCAGCTCATCATCCAAAATGTTCAAAATACTTGCAACCTGTATCCAACAAGATTAATTATGTCTGCATATATACTGTTTTATACCAGTTCTAACATTAAAAGGCCCCTACCATAACGAAGATAATGTATGCCATAATGGCAGTAAAAAGGCCTTATTTAGCCAATAGCTTGTTTTTTAACACTCTGTCATTCTGACTTATTAATATACTATCTAAGCCATATATAATAAAATGAATGTCCATTGACATAAGAACTATTAGTTATACTTATATACAGAGTAAAATGGCATTCACACAAACAAGCACATGGAAAATAAAGAGAGAGATACCAACTTACAGAGATTGCAGTGTAGCAAGCTCGAACATCAATTTCTCCATCATCATGCATCCTGAATAAAGCATTTGATGATTGGAAAGAAAAGATTGATTAGAAAAATAAGGTTTCCCAAACTACTCTGCATGTGTCAACAACAAAGAGAATAAACCGCATTAAAGAAATGCTTTCAACACAGCAGATGAATTCACACCCTTCAGACAAGTGTACATAGTAGATTGGTTTCTGCACAACAGGAGCTCCACAAACACAAGAAAATCAAATATGTCACTATTCATAGGTGTGAATGGTGGTGCATTGCATTTGTGAACAGAGTGCAAACAGATGGAATTGTAAGCCACAAAAAGTTATCCTTTACTTTATAAAAGATTTAGAGAATAGCTATCAGATATAATTAAAAATGGGTACATAACATCAGTATAATTTCTTATTTTGAATTGAAGTGGAAGACGAGTATAAGATATCAAACCTGAACCCCCCATTTGGCTGCTTCATTCTTCGCAGAAACCCATGCAATTTATCTCTGAGAATATGTTCAAAGTACCAAACCAATCAGTTCCACACAAATGAAAACTAGCTTCTTAAATAAATAATGGAACATAATATGATATAAAAAACTTGCGTTGAGCACATAAACAGACCACCTATTAATTGATGCCAGGGATTTCTGACCACCCAAAGTAATAAGTGTATTAACTGCGGCATAAGTTGTGGCAATATGAGGCATCTGTAGAGAACATTCCAAGGATATAAATAGTTCATTATGCTTCTCCAACACTAACAATAGAAGTACAACCTAAACCTAAACCTAAACTTATTCAACTTATCTGTTCCAACTCAAATAGTTCAAGTGTACAACACAAACTCCCTTTGAAATGTTCTCTTTACCTTTGTAAAAGCACAAGCAATATACTATATGAAATTATAGAAGCATATTTTACATCATAACTAACCACGGAAAAAGTTTTCTATTTGTATGCATCAGAGTTGCAGCATGAGACAATAAGATAAAGTTTTAGAAAGGGGAGAAGGAGGAGAAGGTAAGAATAAAATTCAATGAAACCATAGCTCAGTAATGATGTAGAAATCAACCAAAGATAAGAATAGTCACTTGCTTGGCCTGGTCCTCCAGCATATCCACCATCTGGATCCTGTTAGTATACAAAGAAGAAATCTATAAGGGAGCAGAAACGGGATGGGATGGGAAAAAAGTGGTCAGCCAAGAAATTCGATCTTAAACCACAAGATTTTAAAACATATATCTAAAGAATCAGCTAGGTCGTGTTTGGTACATATATCAACAAAAAGATAAGTACATAGTAAAAAGTCCAAAATATTTCTGTGTTGCAAAACAACAACAAATGGTTTAGACTCAGTAATACATTGTGATATTGTGCATAATTGTAATTTTTCAGCCATAAGTGTATATATATATATGATATATCCAGCATCCAACGTAAGCAGGCAATGAAATGGGTAGACAGACACTCAATAATAAAGAGAAAACAAGAAAACATATTAATTGCATACATCGAACTCATCCCTCTAAGATCAAGGTTTTATTGCTCTAGAAAATTAGTACTATAACTCAGTTGCAAATTTGTAACTATTAGCAAAAACATAACTGAAAAATGAAAGCAAAGATAAACCAAACACCAGCTCATTTTTTACATCAAATGTCTACTCTTGTATTAAAAATTAGAACCAGATGGACATTATCAATACTTTCACACTCTCTACGGAAATGAATTTCACACACTACTCTTCTTCTAAACCTCAAACTACTCCCAACGGACACTCCCGCTGTTTATTCTCATTTTATATGTGTATCGATATTTGATATTGTTAACCATATATCCCTTTCAATCTGACCTTTTTTTCTCTCTGCATAGAGTTTCATCAGTCTCTTTAAATAAATGGTACCTCGTTAAGAACAACTGTATATTTATTTATTATGAATTATGAATTTTGTTTGCAATAAAATTTATATAGAAAGAAAACAGTTATATATTGTGATCCAATCACAAATCACTGACAGCCTACTGAATTTTACAATTGCTATCTTCGGAGTCGTACCAGCGATGATTCCATATTGACTGACAGTACCAAACTCATTTATATATTCAAAATTATTTACTTGTCATGAAATTAGTTTTATATATATATATATATATATATATATATATATATATGCATTAATGTATTTAACTTGTATCTTTGGTAAAAAGAAAATAGTAGTTTACAAATAATGGAAGAGAAAAAAAAAGTAATCCAAGGAAAATAAGAATTAGAGTCACAATTAAAAACCTGACAACGGTTAAGAAATTCGATAGTGTTATCTTCGAGTTCATCTTCGACGGATTCTCCCAATAAAGCAATGGAGTGGAAGATCCAGTAGCACAGCCATGGTCGACTGCATAACCACAACGTTTAATCAATCCAAAAACAGTAACAGAAATTGCGATACAAACAACACAAAAAAAAAACATGTGTTACTTTGAGTCCAATACGGAAAACGCGGAACTGAGGTGACGAAGTCCTTTAGAGAGAAACTGCACGTGATTATCGCGTTGCAGCTCCAACCTGAGAAGAGAAGAAGAAAAAACGCAGAGTAAAAGAAATTCAAAACGGAGAATGAAGAGAACAGAAGAGATGTTGCAATGAATGACATACATGAGGGTTTGGGCGTTGGGAGGAATGGTGGCGAAGAGGTGGTAAATCTGAAACACTTGTGATTCTACCATCCATTGGTCCCGCTGCGTCACCGTCGGACACGGTGGCGCCGCCTCTGTCGCCGGCGGATTTGTCTCTTTTTCGCTCACTTCACTCATGGTATCGCCAGAAACTGCGAGAAGTGACTGAAGCAACGTTCATTCATTTTGCTTCTTTCATATTGAGCTTCCTGGCCCGTAACTAGTTACTACGGATCAAAGCCAAAACTAGGCTCGCCTCAAGTAGCTTCTTTTGGTTGGGGCTTTCTTCCTGCACCCATGTTTTCTTTGCGCACCGCAAAATATATAATCCTCCACGCCATCGTATTTACTTTTGGCACGGTTATATTTACTTCTCCTAACTTTTTTTATTTTGAAATCTGGTTCTTTATGTTTTTGAAATCTGGTTCTTTATTTTTTTTATTTTGTTATTTTTTTTATTTTACTTATTTGGTGTATTTTGTTTTATGAATTTATTAATGATCTCTATGTTGATTATTATTACTCAACAAGTGAGATATTATATACTCACGTCATGTTATAGGTGATTATAGAGTTGGTATTTAAGATGGAAGATTATCCTTTAAGTTTTTATAGAATCACAAGTAAATTAGAGTTTCGTCTCATATTTCTCTTTTTTTTTATTAATGAAATGCAAGTAAGAGAGATTATACTAATAACTTCATAATTAATGATATTTTTTTTACACATGATAAGTTAATTAAGTGGGTATGAAGAATTTATTTTCATCTTGGTTTTTGGTTTTGTTGTTGTGATTATAAGATTTGATAAAGCTAATAGTCAACTTGAGAAAAAGACATATATATTATTAGGATATGAAAGAGGTAAAATGTACATGATATACAAATCTGACGTTCAACCTAGTATGTTTTGCATAAGAAAATGTTTTGTCTTTTTTAAATTAAGAAGCAAACCAATTGGTAATGAAAATGGGTGAGTCTTAAAGGTATTGAGAGGATGTCATAATCATGATTTATGAAAGACTTTAGTTAGTCACCTTTATGCTAATAGGTTAAAACCTAATGAACATTTATTGCTTATTGATAATGATTAATAGTCAAGTGAAGCCTACAGACATTCTTCTTACTCTTAAAATAATAATTAGTGTAATGTAACAACAATAAAGCAATTATATAATGCAAGTTACAACTACAAACGATCATGGGAGACTAACTTTATCTCCCGTCGATCTTATACAAAACAATTGTATATAAAATTTAAACAATTCATTAAACATCAAAAGCAATATATAT